TAGTATTATTATGTGTATATATATATATATATATATATAGAAAAATATAGCTTAAAATAATATTTTTTAACAACATATTATATTTAAATCATTGAAAACATACTTTTTAAAAAAAATTTATCATAATTACATTTAAAAAAAATATGTATCATATGATTTTTATGTTTATTTACAGGAAAACTAAATACACCAGATTATGTTCTTTTTGAAATCATTCAATTTTTGTTTGAATCATTTCTTACATTTCTTATACTTTACAAATAAATGTTTCATATTTATGAAATAATTAATTATTAGATATATTAATATATTTTGGAGTGATTCATATTTCTTTTACAAAAATTATTAACTTTTTGTATTTAAAATTGGACATTTTTACGCTTATGCGAATAAAAAAACATAATTTATGATTATATTTTATATTTAGATATAAGAGATATTATGGTTTTCATTTCATGTCTAAATATAAAATTATAAATATTTATTTTTAAATACTTTTAATATGTTATATTATATTTCTATACATATAATTTTTAAATTGGAGATCATGAATTTTTTTTTTTAAATACTTTTATTAACCCCAAGTTTCAACTTGATATCGATTTTCATTTTCTAATTGTTTAATAAAATTTTCTGCATCTTTTTGAGTTGATTTAGTCATATCTTTGACTAAATTAATAAATTCTTCACGAACACAATTTGGCATATTTTTAGAATTACCTGCTAGATAAATGTTACCATTCTTATTAAGAAACTCCCAACAAAGTGTTTTCTGATCATGTATAATGTGCTGTACATATCTGAAATATTTATAGAAAAAAATTATAGAAGTTATGTACAATGTAAATAATTCATATAAATATAAATCATTTAAGAATTACACAATTTACGCTGTTTTATTATAAAATATAAAAATATTAACTTACATCTTATGTTTTTGATCTCTGGAAAAGGCACAAAATAAATTTAAACCTTTTTCCAATGATAAATATTCAAAATCATCTTTGCAATGATAATCTTTTTCCTTGTTTCTACAACCAAAAAAAAGAATGCAATTACTTAAATTGTCATCTAATACAGATTTATCCAATAGAGCTGAACGAAATGGTGCAATTCCTGTTCCAGGACCAATAAATATCATTGGCTTATGATATTCAAATTTAAATGTTCCTTTCTGTATCCAAAATATTATTTTATCGTTTTTTACTAAATTTGCTAACCAATTTGAACATAATCCAAATCTTGGTTCCACTAACTTTGTCTTATATTTTACTACAGCTACCAAGAGATGAATTTCATTTTTAGCAATTCTTAAACTTGAAGCTATGCTAAAAGCACGAGGTTTTATGGGAGACATAATTTCAAATAATAGTTTTATATTTAATTTACTAGTTGTATGAGGAAAGTCTGCAAATAACTCTAAAATATTTCTTCTTGGTCTATTAATATAATTATAAAGCTCTTCTTGGCCATTTGCTGTTGTAAATTCATATAACTTTTCCTTTTCTAATTTATTTTCACTGATAAAAAATAATAGTTGCATTGTAGACCTACGTGGTTTAAAGCTTAAATCCCAATATTGTTCTACAATTTGATATAGAGTTAGAGTTTGTTTTAAAACAGTAGGTACTTTAATTTCTTTTTCAGATATTTGAATTAATATATCTGGATTTAATTGTACATTATTATCATTGAATATATTAAAAAATCTTTCAATTTGTTTCTGAGAATTTTTAGGTCTAATATATACTATATCTCCAGGTTGATAATTAATGTTATCTGATTGAAATTTAATTAATCTAACATCTTGAAAATGATCTTGTGCTGTAGTTCTTATATTTTCAATTATTGTACCCACTTTAATTTCATTATTTATATATATTTCTTCCATAAAAATTTTTCCATCATGAATTGAACTATATTCATTATTTAAGGAATTTTTATTTATTTCAGAAATATGAAATCTTTCAATTATGTTACTTTTATTATTCTCTGTAATTATATCTGTTGTAGAAATATTAAATGTATTGGTAATTTTCATCCACATTTGTTCTAACCAAGGATCAACAACAGCATCTATCCCTAAATCATGTTGATCATCTGCTAATCCAAGAGGTATTAATTCCTTTGCTCCTAATTGCATTAATCTTTTGTTTAATTTTTTTGCTGCAAAATTAAATTTTTGATAGGAACTGTCACCTAAGCCTAATATTCCATAGTTTAAATTAATAAGCAATGTGGTTGGCAGATTTTTTCGTAGTAGAAATCTCCAAAATTGTCTCATATTATTAGGAGGATCACCTTGACCTGTTGTTGCAACTACAAATACTATTATTTTTTCTGAATCAAGATTTTGTATATTATAATCATTCATTGCAAAGATATTACTTTCTAATCCCTTTCTGAAATAAACAGATTTTTGTAATAAAACTGATTACAATTACTATCTTTAATCATGAAATATAAGAAATGAATAATAAACAAATTTTCTAATAATTAACAAATTCAAACTTTCTAATTGCGAAACAAAATATATTTCTATATATATAATAGAGGAAGGACAATAACAAAACCTTTTGGCATTTTTCCAAATTTGTTCAGCCACATCTTGTGCAGTACCTGTCTCACTACCATACAATATTGTAATTTTCATGTTTACTGCGAACAATTCTTTAATGTAAATCTTTTGAAAAAGAATATTTTATCATATCTCAAGACACCATGTTAGCAATTTTCAGCTGATGTACTGTGACGTCATTGGTCATTCAATAGACGATATCTGGAGAAACATACGTAAATTTTGTGAACAGGGTATGTAAACTATAAAAATAAAAAAAATTTTTTTCCGCATTAAACATATTTCACATATGGTAACAATCTTACTTAATCAAATGTCAAGGATAGGTCTAGGCTAAGTCCCATTTGGCGCTTGGCCCAAGATATTTATAAATAAAAAATAGTTTTCCGTATACATTGTGCGAACAAATGGTTTATCATAAATATTGTACACTTTAATCATCGTTAATTATCAAAGATTCAATATACTATCTAACTTTAAGAAATTATCATAATTTTAAATATTAAAAGTAATTGAATGTTTTGAAATCGATATAAAAATGTTAAAAATTAAAATGAGAAAAGTTTACAATGCATCTTAAAAACCGGAAACTGACATGATCCTATCAGTGTAACCATAATATGAAATGTTTAAAACTATTTATTATATATTATAACCAAAATATCTATGTATGAATTCTAATTATCTTTATGGATAAGTTAATTTAAAAGAAATAAACGATTGCTAATTAAGCTGCTTATGAATGAATTATGTGATGTAACTGCGTGTGAAATGTCGATTTTTTATAGATAAAATGATGTTGGTAGCATTGACATCTGTTTGCGAATGATTGTCAAAACCTATTTTCTCAACGAAGTCCGCAGTTTTGCATGCTAGTTCGTAGGAAAACATCATGACTGCGTTCGATTCGTAGAAAGGAAAGAGGCGCAAAGTGCAGCCGTGAGAAAGATAGCGCATCTGTTTTTGAGGAGTGAGTGAGTGCAGAGAAAGGTTTCTCGTCTCGTTTCGCTCGCGTTTCACCCGTTCGACGAGTGACGTGCCTCGGGTCTTCGTCGGTAGAGAAAAAGATTATTTCGATTTTAACGCAAAGAGAGAAGACGCGGGCTTTTGTCCTCGCGAAAAATTTACTACGCGATCGTGTCTTAACCTTTTCTATTGTTAAATGTGATTAAAGTGGGCTGTTGGCCGTAGTGTGTGATTTCTGCGACCCACGATTGTCCTCTCGTCACTTTCGCAGCAATCGACCGATGCATAGTACTTCGATGGAGCTTATTCGCGCGTGACAGCAACTTTCGGGACACCAGGCTCGACTTTTGCCAGGTAGTCCCAATTCCGATTTACCACGTGTATCAGCTTTGCATTATTTTGAAAATTGTGTTCACATTTTTCTTTGACGCGACGCTTGCACGATATAAAAGCGGCCAGAGGTCAGTCACATTTTAAACTTTGGTTACAGTTTACCGCGTTTTGAAATGTTTAGCCTTGTCAAGGAATTCAGTATCACGTTTCTTTAGAAACGTACGTTTACATGCTCTTCGCACACTGTCATTATTCTTACATATGTATTATTTGTATGTGATTAATATTTATCTATGTAAATAATTGCCTCTTAATAATTTTTTTATTTTATGTTATTTGTGGATGTAAATCTTTTGTTAAGAGTACAAAATTATTTACATTAATAAAATTGATATTTACTTTTGTTTAATGATATATATATATATATATATATATATTGTATGTACCATGTTATTTTTTATTAGTCAAACCTTCTTTTTTTTTTTACTAGATTTTGGTAGCTGTCTACATTTACATTATTGTGGCAGCTTTTATTTTCTTACATATGATCAACATGTATACCACATGACATGAACTTCATTCTATGACAAGTATATAATATCATTAATATTTATGGAAATTATCTTTGTCACATTTTATGACATAAAATATGAAAAATTTTATTACTATATGCAATAACAATTTAACAAGTATTTAATGTAACTTTTGACACCACATTTATGCTTTATAAATACTTTTAAATAGTGTATGAACACACATTGTCTATGCATTAAAGACAATAGTATTTATATAATAAAGGGCCATATAGAGAAAATGAATAGCAGGCTTGAAGAACAAGAATCAAAATGGACATGTGAATATTGTACATATGAGAATTGGCCTTCATCATTGAAATGCACTATGTGCAGAGGTGCCAAACCTTTATTAGGGGAGGATATTTATCGCCTACGAGATCCAAGTCCACAAAGGTCTGGATCAAATGTTGCATCTGGTCCAGTAACTCATTTAAGCCCAACAGATTCTTTCAATCTTAGTTCTCAAAATGTTCCATTGGGAAAATGGTCATGTGCAATGTGTACCTATCTTAATTATCAAAATACCACACGTTGTGTTCAGTGTGGAAATAGAAAACCTACGGGTCTTAATCAATCAATACACTCTATAGCCTCAAATTTGCATGAACACCTAGCACCTCTTAGGCTAGGAGATCCACCACCAAACTCAGGATCAAATCCTCCTCCAATAAACTTACATCCAGAAAGATATTATAATTTACAAGCTAATTTACATCCTGAGAAATGGTCTTGTCTTGTGTGTACTTATGAAAATTGGCCAAAAGCCACAAAGTGTGTGATGTGTGGTAATCCTAAAGAAAAAGATAGAAGAGATAGAACAACCAATAACATGGGTGTTATTTTACCAAGCCCAGAAAGAGATCATAGCCAACGAAACTTACCTTCTCCACCTCATGCACCATATATTCATCAAACCCAAAGAGATGAAAATTTGGCAGTAGGACGAAGGTAATTTATTTTTTATATTCCTTAATAATAATTCTTTTTTTATATTTCTATATATGATAATTAATAATTAATAATGAGAATATTTTAATAGAATTAGAAAAAAATATATTATAAATTTTTTTATATTATAGGAATTCACATAGATATCCTGATAGCAGAAATGATAATATATCAACTCCTCAATCCCCTAATAATTGTGACTATGAGCGTAGATTAAAACAATTAAGGCGTCACACTGATTGGTGCTGGTTAAATGCATGTCTTGGCATTGTGGAAGGTGATAATGCTCCTGTTGAGGCTTATTTGGCAAGTGGCGGTGATCCTGCTCGTCAATTGACGCATTCAGAAGTTCTGCTTCTAAATAGAAGTAGTGCTTTTGATGTTGGACATACTTTAGTACATTTAGCTATTAGGTTTGTGAGAAGTAATTTTTCACAATGAATTTCTTTGCTATTTTAATTTATTTTATACAATTATATGTATATTTTTTTAGCTATATATCAATTTATACATTACACATAGCAAAATAAATCAATTATTATTAAGAAAGACAAAATCTTTGAATTGTTTTTTATACAATTTATGATATTTTTAACAGATTTCAAAGAGAAGATATATTAGCAACATTATTATCACAAATTGAAGGTTCTGGATCTGGAGTAAAAAGAGTACCAAGTTATGTTGCACCAGATTTGGCTGCTCAAATACGCAGACACGTCACTACTAGTATCCGGTTACGCAAGGGTTCTTTCCCATGTTATTTCGTCACTGATATAGCTACATTTGCTTTGCCCGCTGAGGTTAATATGATATAATACTTTTTTCAGAGTATTATGGGATATATTAGTGTTAAAAACATTAATTTCTAATAAATTATATAAATTACAAATGAAAAATAAATTATTAGGTTGAAGATTTACCAAGTATAGTGCAAGAACAAATGTTGGAAGAATTATTAGATAAAGAAGCTCAACAGCAATTAGAAGGTGGTGGAGGAGAACCACCAGCATTAAATTGGTCTTTAGAAATTACTGAACGTTTAGGAAGTCGCTTACATGCACTTTGGAATAGATCTGCTGGAGATTGTTTATTAGATTCTGCAATGCAAGCTACTTGGGGTGTTTTTGATCGAGATAATGCTTTAAGAAGAGCTCTTGCTGATTCTTTACAACAAGCTGGTCAATTGTAAATAATTCTTAAAGTATTTTCGGTTACTGTTTTACAAATACAATATATATATATATATATATATACATATATATAAAATTATAGCAACATAATTTTATCAATCTAGTTTTTATCCTCGATGGAGAGAATATGAAGCTTCTCAAGCATCTAGAATGTTGGATTTTACGTTAGAAGAGACTCAATGGCAAGAAGATTGGGAAAGTTTATTAGCAACTGCTGCTCAACCAGGAAGTGCTTTAGAACAATTACATGTATTTGCACTTGCCCATATTTTGAGACGACCTATTATCGTTTATGGAGTTAAATATGTTAAAAGTTTTAGGGGTGAAGACATAGGTAGGTATATATTATGATAAACATAATTTAATATATAAAAATTATTATATTATTTTATTAAATAAGATATTTTCATATAGGTTATGCAAGATTTGAAGGTGTTTATCTTCCACTTTTATGGGAACCTTCATTTTGTATTCGATCACCTATTGCTTTGGGTTATACACGTGGTCATTTCACGGCTTTAGTTCCAATCGAACCATATACATCAACTAGAATACCACCTCTTTCGTCTCACGGTGGTGTAGGCTTGGGTGGTGGTAATAGTCCACTTCAACAGCTACAAATCCAAATGCAAACTACATTCATGCCATTAATGGATCGAGAACATAAACTTTTACCAATACATTTTTTAAGTCCGGAAGAAGTTGGTCGAGAAGAATCTATTTTGAAGGAATGGCTTGATGTATGCAGAACTGAGGGTGGTATTCTTGTTGCGCAACAAAAACTACACAAGAGACCATTATTAGTAGCACAAATGCTAGAAGAATGGTTAAATCATTATCGAAGACTCGCGTAAGTAATATCTATGAATATATCTAAGATATGTTAATATACTAATATTTTTTTGATTACTTGCATATATATATATATACATATATAAATTGTTTATTTTTATCATTACAGTCAAACTAATAATGCACCTTTTTTGAGACCAGCAGTTTTACAAGATTACAGTAGCGATGGAGATACAGAGGATGAATAACAAGGTGCAAGATTAAGTTATTAAAATTCAGCCGAGAAGACTTTTTTCAGAATTTTCTCAAAACTAATTGTAACACAAGATCTCAGAGATTCACAGTTTTCTGAATATAGCAGAAAAAAGTGTATGAATGTTATGATACACACATTCATTGGCAATGTATCATCTTTGAATGATTTTTGTACATTAATATTGGTTATTGAACTATTGACGTCTAAAATCTTACCGATTCATAATATTTAATTATATCGGACGTTTATTCATTTTTACGAGTAGTTGCTATATTATTTTATTGTTACTTAATCACGAGACTACATAATAAGTAGTTCTGTTGCCAAAGTGCGATTCTGGGTATCAAAGCAGTAAGTGAACGAACGAAATTTTGTTACGGTTAATAGTGTTTTAATTAGAGTTAGTTTTTTTCTCGATAAATTGATTATTATCGAGGATATATAATATTAATTTTCACAATATGTTTATAACTAAAACGTTATTAAACTATTGTGATCTTAATATTAATAAGAGTTCCTTTAACATGCGGCGATTAAGGTAAAGTGATCAATCTATATTATCTTCCATTTGAATACATTCATATCCATCAATAAAAATCGGATAATAATAGAATCAATTTCATCTTCATGAATTTACATCTTCATATCACTTTCATAAGAATCAATAGCGTTAAAGTCATTTCTCCAAAATTTTTTTTCATAACATAAAAATTAGAAAAATATAAATCCAAAGCAAAGTTTTTAGTTTCTAACACTCATGTAATTAACACAAGATTATTTTCTTTATTCAAAGGAAAAAATGCGATATTCAATGTATCATTTAATATTATTAATTCCATTGTAATTTCTCTGAGTTTCTTGAAGTTAAGAATTGGTGAACTACAAGTTAAACATAATGTTGGTTTAAAATATATAGACTTTTCTACTTCTCGGTATAATGAATTATCAATTTTAATAAAATTGAGTCCAATTTATGGTCTCGTTAAATATAGGATTAGATTCCTATTCCTCATTGTTAAGAAATGTGATTTGAACCATTAACTGTTTTGAATTTAGAGATTTCATTATGGAGTAAAGAAAAAAATTATATTTAAATTATAATTAATTAAGCAGAATATCTGTATAGAAAATATTGGACTTGTTTTTTGGTTGCTTTTATAAAATATGATATAAAAAAAATTTGTACAGAATACATCAGCGTTGTCGCATATAGAAGGTAAACAAATTAAGAGCAAAAGGATTTTTGTTCGTTAATTATGAAAAGAAAAAAAAAAAGAATAAAAATAAAAATAAAAATAAAAAAGGGGAGAAATATTCGATAAAAAATGTAAATTAGAAAATTTATAAAGGTATAAGTATATGTATATTGGTCGCAATTTTTGTCTGATCATACGTGTGAAAGTACTCAGAGATTCTGGTACGGATCATGTGATTTTTAAGATAAGTACTAACCTAAGGGCTGAAAAAAAATTCTATAATTGTCCTTGGATCACTTGTTAATTCTGAGCTGTGTTAATATTAGTGTAAAAAAGAGAGATGCGAAGTCGAGTTACAACGACACTTTTCTCTAATTAGAGACAGGGCGCAGCGTTGTACTTTTTCCGTGGCTGCTTCCGATATATATACATATATATATATATACATATATATATATATATATATATATATAAAGTACGAATTAAATTGTACTTTTTCCTGTGTGAAAGAAGAAGAAGAAAGTATAAAATAAGAAGAAGAAAAATAGGAACAAGATAAAAATAATAACGATCAACATTGTGCGAGTGGCTTAATCGTACACAATATAGTCATCATAAATTAACATATAGCAGTATAATAGAACTTTTATAAAACAAGGAGATAAAAAAGAAAAAATGATTATGAAAACAGAATAATAAGTAGTAATAGGTACTATTTAGTACCAATTATATAATTGGTATGTGTGAATACATAAATATATATATATATATATATATATATATACACATGTATACATATACTATAATATGAGGTCAAGAATGGATAAAGATTTAATGGTAAACTAGCTCGGCCAAATAATGAACCCTAATCAAAAAAGTACAAAAAATCGTAAGAGGGAAATGGTAACGTTTCTTTCTAATGAAGACATGTTATTATTACACATGTGGTATCGCTTAAAGTTTAGTCTCGTTTTTACTAATTCTAATGTAGTTTCTAGTCCTTTTTAGCACTGTCGTTTTTCATAATCACACGCGAAGCATGTGATTTAATTATTGCGAGATTATCCGAAAGGCTCGAAGATTATTCGGATAGAAACATGTTTCACAAGTCAATTCC